CTGGCCTATTGGTGACTATATCAGATTGTACACATCGGTCTTGGCATTTGTGCAGGGCTCCTGACCACTGGACAGACAGATGCACAGTCTGAGTTGTCCTGGTTAGATCCTCCACTATTGCCTGAACTTTCCTGTGTTGTTTTGGAGATAGGGTCTGTGTAGCCAAGGCAGACCTCATCACCACCTTCCGGCTTCTGTCTCTGGACTGCTGGGATTACAAGTGTGTACAACCTCATCCAGTTTACCCAGGCTTTTCTTGGTGCCACTCTGGGCCCTAAAGGCTTAGCTGTCATCTCCTTAATCCCCAGCTCCTCCCAAGGTGGGGTGCTAGTGCAGCGGGTGTGAGTATTTTTATGTGATTTTCAATTTTGTTCAGTTTCTCAGATGGATGTTTCTGGAAGTACTGTGGGAGGTGGGAGTGTGTTCCCTGCCTGGACGCAGGGTCTTTTGCCCACTCGCAGGATCCAGAGAGGACGATGAGCCCTCACACACTTCAGTTAACTCCGTCAGTTTCTCCTCCGCACACACAAGGGCTTCATCCAGCGATAAAACTGCGTCCCAGGTCACCTATAAAAATCCCCAATTATCTTTCTGTTCTGGGCGTGCTCACACATCCGTTGGCTTGAATTATTTAAAGTTATCGTGAAAAGGGCCCGATTCCTATTGCCTGCCCTGACTTGCACCTTAAATACAGTCTTGGTTCGCCAGAATTCATGTTGAAAATAGAAAATGCCTTTTAAACAGCAGTTTGGCACGGAAAAGCATGGTTTACCTTGGACTATTTCTCCGACTGCATGTTAAGGTACTCAGGGCAGATTTTCAGAAACGCTTGCCCCTGCCAAACCTAGAAGTCAACCTGAAATGAAACAGGAAGCATGGAACCCCAGGTGGTCCTTCCTGGGTGTCCCTTTGGCTGGGAGGGTCTGAACTGGGGAGGGAAAAGCCTTCTTCCCGCTCCCTCCCTCCCTCCCTCCCTCCCTCCCTCCCTCCACCCTCCTTCCCTCTCTCCCTCTCTCTGAAGTTGCCAGACCTTAATATTAAAATCAAAATGAAGTCAACTGTGAACATTAAAAATAAGGGCCATCTCCTGTAGACGCGAAGCCTTGCCGGCAACTTCGGGAACCCCGTGTAAACACTGCACATTCCACATGCACTGCCAACCTCATCATCCTGCGCTGAGTTATTCAGTCTCTGTTTATATTTGTATGTGATATATTCTGCCTGCTCCTCTGATTAGCATACCCCCGAATCTGCAGTGCGTCAAAATACCAAAATTAAAAAGAAAAGACAAGAAACAAGAAAAAAAGAAAACAAAAACAAGCACAGTGATCTGTCTCCTCCCACTCCGTGAAAACGAAAGCCTTGGGTCTATTAATATCGAGACCTAATTTACCACAAAACTTAGACGTTTAAGACTAACACGTTTTAGCTCTTGAGAGATTGTCTTGGCTTTGGTAATACAAAGTTAACATTTGTCAGAACTGCTGAAGGAAACGGGTATTTTTTTTTTTAAACCGTATTTACTCCTTTTCCTCTTAACCCAGTTACACCGTTCTCTCGTCATCTTTTAACAAGAAACCTGGGTTTTGGGGGAAGGAATTTTTCAAATGACTCACCGTTTTGTGATTTGATTTATTACGTGTCTATTTTATAATAAAAATAGTATTTATTTTTCTATTATAAAAACACATCTGGCACCATCACGATTTTGTTTGTTCAGTTTAGATTATAGAAATTTCACTGTAAGCAAGGAATAAAGAGCGATGGACGTCCTCACAGCACTGCTTTAAGCAGTATGTCATTTCTGCTGTGGAAAAAAAGATTTTAATTTCACAGCAGAGTGATGGGAGATGATGGAAGGCTTTTTATTTTTAAAGAATTTTTTTTTTTTAAAAAGCCTAGATCTGTGTATTTTGGGATGGAGAGAGAAGCCAGTGAACATGGAGTCTTGATCTCATCAGGGAGAATCTGGGAGGCTCCCTCTGTTTATTGGCAATCTCTCCCTTGCTGTGTGGCTCTTCTACAAAGAGTGCCATTGGAAAATAGCAGCTGCTTCTTTTCCGAGGGGCTCTGAGTTGATGCCTCCCAGAACCAGCAGAGAAAGCAAGCCCTCCTCAGTGTGCTGTCCCCTCTCAAGCTGCTGACACAGCAGCCCCCACCAGTCATAGCCCGCCGGCTCTGCAAACAAGTCAGGTGAAAGAAAATTCTAGATGTTAGATGATGCCACCAGACCTGTTAAACTGAGAAAGTTACTTTATTGATAAAAGGAGAAAGTATAACTCAGAGACCTTTGGTTATCTAGATTTGAAGTAACTGATTGAGGGGGGCGGGGAGACTTTTTCTTCTAGTCCTGGGGATTGGGCTTAGTTGTATATGTTAGACAGACCTTGACCACTGAGCTATATCCTCAGCAAGATGGCTCACGATGTTTACCACGCAGCTGAAAACCCAGGAGACAGAAATTCACAGGAGAAAACAGGCTCATTCAAAGCCCATTCTAAAGAAGACAGAGGCCACTCCCAACCTCAGATATCCATCTCTAGGTATTCTAGGGCCAGAGGGCTTTTATGGGATTAAAAGGGGGGATTATGAATAGACACTAGGCAAGGCAGCCCACATGCTGGCCAGGGTTCTGTGTCTTCTCTCCTCTGGCCAGGGGAACTTCACCATAGACTGTTTTCTGCAGCTGATCAGCCAGAACTTGAGGAATGGCTCCCCCTCCTTCCACAGAAGGATTAGAGAGAGGGAAGGTAAAAGAAGAGGATCGTCTTCGTATATGTATGTGTATCCATGTGCATGTGTGTGTATCCATGTGCATGTGTGTGTATCCATGTCCATGCAGTTCCCACAGAGGCCAGAAGAGGGCCTTGGATCCCCATGGAACTCAAGTGACAGAGATGGTCGTGAGCTGCCAAGTGGGTGCTGGGAACTGAACCTGAGTCCTCTGCAAGAGTGGCAAGTGCTCTTAACCGTTGAGCCATCTCTCCATTTTTGTCTCCCTCACCATCTCTCTCTCTGCCTCCACCCCTGTGTGTGTGTGTGTGTGTGTGTGTCCCTGGTGGCTTGATTGAAATGTCCCCTATAGTCCCAGGTGTTCAATACTTGGTCCCTGTTGGTGATGCTGTTTGAGAAGCTTAGGAAGAAGTTGTATCCTTGTTGGAGGAAGTGCGTCGGTCATTAGAGGAGGGCTTTAGGAGTCTCAGCTCTCAGCTTTTGGGTCTGCCTGTGCTGTGGTTTAAGACCCGAGTCCTCAACATCTTGCTCCAGTCACTGTGTTTGCCATTCTCTACCACGATGAACTCTCATTCCTTTGGGTCATAACCCCCAAATAAACCCTTCTGTAAGTTGCTTTGGTCATGGTGTTTTATCAGAGCAATAGGAAAGTGACCAATACTGTGCGCCCTTATGTGAGCATGCTCAGATGCATGTATGTGTGTACAGGGAAAGAACATACATTATATCGTGATGAAAATAATTTGGGAGTGGGCACTGAACTCTCTTCTATTGATTAGATAGGTGCTGCCTGGTGATGTAGCCTTCCAGTGAAGAAACCATATGGCCAACAATGAAGACAGTCATTCATTCATTCATTCATTCAATATGATATGATTCATTCAATACTTCTATGTGCTATTTGTATCTTGATTAGTCAATAAAATTACATTCCTGCCAGTGTGGAGCTTGTAATAAGAGTCTATTAGTAGTGGTCCCCAGATACGTATTTTGAGTTGGTATTGAGTTCTCTAATGAACAGTAGAGAAGAGTTGGGGGAGGACTGAGGCAGGTGCGAGGCGGGTGTACTGTTGAAGAAGTCCCAGGGCCACACACTCTGCCCACTCTTATCTAAATGCCAACATTCAGGTCCCTCTGGCTTTGTGCTTCAGTTTCAACCCTGCCTCTCGAAATGCCATTCTGGAAATGGAAATGAAGAAGCCATTAGTCATGTACATTTCAGCGGGATCGTGTCTTAGATTACTTCCCGTGGGCCAATGTTAATGGGTAACAAGAGGCGATGGGTATCTGAGGGTGTAGTGGGGGAGGGGAGGGATTAGATAGAAGAGTCTGATAGTGGGGTTGTCTCATGCCTGTATGATGGCATTCCCCCATGACCTGCCTCTATGCCATGTGCCTGCACTGGCATGGTGCCCACCTCCTCTGGGAATGCCGCCTCCAGGACCTGACCCCCCCACACCCTCCAAGCAATGCTCCCCTTTTATCTCCTTAGGAGAAACTCGTTATACAACTCCCTGACTTTTTGGCTTAGCGTTTTGCTTCATATTTCCAGCGCTGTCTTATGTTGTTGTTGTTATTATTTTTAATGCTCAGCCTAAGTGTGCCTCTAAGGAGGTCTTTGCCTATTTATGACTCGAATCGAAAACATTCAATCACTCTGAATGGAGGATGATTTTAATTCCCTTAGTCTCCTGCCCTGGAATTTCAGTAGGATTCTGCATATTCTCCCAGCTGGCTTGTAAACAGCATCTGCAGTTCCAACCCCACAGCCCCAACCAACAAGTGCCCCCCACCCTTAGTTCTGTTGCTCTTCCGGCTTTGGCAGGGACAATGGAGGTGCGGCTTTATACCACCAGCCTCTCCTTTCTCAGGAGTTTTGGTATGTAAATCAAAAATTTGAAGAAATGTTTTTCCTATATTTTTTTGGTTGTTTATAAAGATTTTAATTGCTCTACTGAAGTTTTCTTTGCTTGTGCGTGCTCATGCGCGTGCGCATGCGTGTTCGCGTGCGCATGCGTGTTCGCGAGCCCGTACATGTTCTCCTTGATATCTGGAGTTCATTGACTTTACAGTGATGAGTTATTTCGGGCCTAAGATGAAGAAAACCTTTAATACTTGTTTGTAGCAATGCAGCTGTTTAAAAATGAGCAAAATATATCTTGTTAAAATATTCCATTCCCCTCTTATTATAAGCAGAATTGTCAAATGTGAGAATGAATCCAGATTGCTAATTTTAATGTAAATATGTTTCTCTCTTTCTCTCCTAGCTTTTGCTTTGGTGTCTGAAGAGATAAAAGAAAAGGTCACGCCTTCTCAGGTACTAAATGTCATGACCTAGCCTAACCATTCCCTGACATTCTTTTAGATTGAATGGGAAATGTAAATCTTTTATCCTTAACAGCTAACGTTTTTCTTTTTGCTGTTATATGAGCTGAGATGTTGTTCTGTATCTGTGTGTGTGTGTGTGTGTGTGTGTGTGTGTGTGTGTGTGTCTAGGGGTACTTGTGTAAGTGCTGTGAGTGTAGAGGTTAGAGGTCAGCTTTGGAGTTGTTTCTCAGACTAAGCGCATGTGTGTGTGCCTGTGTGTGTGTGTGTGCATATGGTGTATCTATGTAGTGTATGTATGGGAACATGCATGTGGTGGTTTGATTATGGCCAGGGAGTGGCACTCTTAGAAGGTGTAGCCTTGTTGGGGGAAGTGTGTGCCTGTGGGTGTGGGCTTTAAGACCCTGGTCCTAGCTGCCTGGAAGCCAGTCTTCTATTTGCCTTCAGATGAAGAGGTAGAATTCTCAGTTCCTCCTGCACCATGCTTGCCTGGATGCTACCATGCTCCCACCTTGATGATAATGGACTGAACCTCTGAACCTGTAAGCCAGACCCAGTTAAATGTCCTTATAAGACTTGCCTTGGTCATGGTGTCTGTTCACAGTAGTAAAACCCTGACTGAGACAAAGTACATGTGTATGCTTGGGTGTATGTCCCATATATGGTTATGTAGAGGCCAGCAGAGGATGTCAGGTGTCCTGTCGTTCTCTGCCCTATTCCCTTGAGACAGGATCTTTCATTGAACTTCGGGTGGGCTGGCAGCCAGTAAGCCCCAGCAACCCTCCTGTCTGTACTTTGTCAGCTCTGAGATCACAGGTGCGCATACCCAAACCTGGCTTTTTACATGGGTGCTGGGGATTTGAACTCAGGTCCTCATGCTTCTATAGCAAGCACTCTTACCCACTGAGCCATCTCCTCCAGCCCTACCTTGCATTTGATATAGGATCCTTCAGTGGCCTGGGTCTTGCTGGTTAGGCCAGGCTGTCTGGTCAGCATGCCTCAGGAATCTGTCTCTGCCTTCTCAGTTCCAGGACTACAGCGTGTGGCACCAAGCCTGGCTTTTTTACATGGATCCCCACTCTTGAGTGACAAGCACTTTACCAACTGAGCTATCTTTGTGGTCAACAATATAGATTTTGGAGTCCTATTAGCAACTTGTGAACACATTTGATTGTTTTTGTTGTGTGTGTGTATGTGTGTGTGTGTATGTGTGTGCATGTGTGTGTGTGTGTTCTCTATCACTCCCCACTGTATACATTGAGGCAGGGTCTCTCCCTGGATCTAGGGCTCACCTTTTCAGCTAGTGTGGCTGCTCAGCTTGTTTTTGAGAACGGCGCTCTGGGACCCGTGCGCTAGTCAGTCTTCATGCATGTACAGCCAGCATGCTTCACCCACTGAGCCATGTCCAGCCCAGGTTTGCTTTGAAAACTATGACTTAATAGTTCAGACAGACTGGCTAGTTTCAGTCATGTTAGGAAAGACTCTTGATACAGAGATATATCACTGAGAAGCTTCACTTGGGTAGCTTTCCTCAAGACTTGGGGTATCCTACTCTTGGCTTCATCTTCCTGTCTGTGAAAGGATTCTTGTCATGGGGCTAGAAAGAGTCCAAAACCTGATTACTGTCGCTCTGAAGATGCTGCCATGTGGGAAGGCATCCTGAGGACCAGATCAGGGACTGCACAGGTGCCCAAGCTGCTGAATTCCTTGTACTCTCAGAACCCGGAGCCAGGCCTGGGAGCCAGGCCTGGGAGCCAGGCAGAGTAGGTCACACTTTTCCAAAATCTCTGAGCCTCCATTTTTGATCATTGATGCTGTTTGAGAATATGTGTGTGTGTGTGTGTGTGTGCATGTGCATGTGTGTGTGTGTGTGTCTCAACTTGATAAGCTTAACAGATGAGCGAGAGAACAATATTTAAAGCATACCACTCAGGCCCTCTAACAACTGGAGCAGAAGAGGCTCTCTCTAAAGCTTTTAGCCTGACTGTGGTATTCGTTCCCCAACAGGGTTGCCTTGTCTGGCCTCAGTGGGAGAGGATGTGCAAACTCTGGTAGAGACTTGATGTGACAGGGTGGGGGGGATACCCAGGAGGGCCCCACCCTCTTAAAGGAGAAGAGGAGTGGGAGGGTCTCTGTGAAGGGGGACATGGAAGGAAGGCAGCATTTGGGATGTAAATAAATAAATAATTTTAAAAAATTGAAAATTTTTGTTATGTTAATTAAGACTTTGATCAAGTCGACTTTTTACTCCATAATTAGTGTAAAAGTATTTTGAATAGAGTATTTCTTTTCTCAAAAGAGCATTATCTGACTGTGCTCTGGGATCCCTCCAAGGAGAAAATAATGCTAATAATTTCTTATGATGTTAAGACTCTTTAGGGCTAATAAAAGCATTTGGATACACTTTATTTAATTTGATCTTTTCAATGACACTTCTATTGCTAAGCAAAAAAAAAAAAAAAAAAAAAAAAAAAGATATTCCCAGTTAAACAGAGGGGATTTAGCCTGAAAGCAATTATGTGATTTTTACCAAGGACACAGGATCATTAAAAGTTCAAGTTCAAATGTTGAGTCCTGTATTTTCAGCCCGGACTCCGTTTTAATTACAACGTGTGCGTTTGACCGGAGTGAGGCTCGTTTTCAGAGAGTTTAAAGTGTTACACAAGGGTTATCAGCAGCTAATTAAAATTTTGTTTAATGAATTTAGAAATTATACATACTTAAAAACGATTTTAAATTTTATTTTTTCCACATGTACGTGCTTTCGCCACGTGTGCATGTGCCCTTTGAGTACAGTAGAGGGCGTCAGATCCCTGGAACTGGAGTTACTGGTGGTTATGCGCTGTCATGTGGATGATGGGAACTGAAGCAGGGTCCTCCACAAGATCTCTTAGCCACTGGTCTCTCCCGTCACCCTTAAGTGAAGAACTTACAAACTAAGCATTGCATTCGGAATTGTAACTGTTTAAATCTCTGGGGCTTAAGAAAATGAAACCCAGGTAGAAATGTTGGCTTGGTCAGGACTTGTGGTGTGTGGTTGGGAGCTGTGTGGGGGAGAGATGCACAAATAATGGCTCTCTTGTCTGACAGCGACTGATATGCGACTTTGACAGTGAGCCCGTTTTTTGATTGATATTGATAGCCTATGGAAAAAACTTGTGGCATCAGAGATCATAAAGCAAACCCCGTGCTTTCCTCCCTGGAAAACCTCAGCCTTTTCATGAAGGAAGCAGAAGACAGGGTTTTAAATTTTCTGTCAGCAACTTCATTTAGCCCAATTTTCTTTCTCAAAGGGGAAATTACTCACGAGTGTTTTGGCTCTGTTCAAATCAACCAACTCAACCACTCCTTGGTTATTTTTTTTTTCCGTTTACAAATTGAATCGTTTGAAGAAGCTAATCATTTCTTAGCCACGGTCAGCTACTGAGCTAGAGGCTTAGTACCGAATAGGAAGACTTATGATCCGGGTTGGTTTTCTTTGATGCCACAGAACCACGGAGAGCAAAGCACAGCAGGTGTCCAAGGCTGTTGGAATTATGCTATCTGGAACCCCTGGGTCCAGAGGGGTTTCATCTTTCCCATTGTTGCTGGTGACCCTGGTTGCACTTAAACATTGTTTTGAGCTGACGGTGTTTCTAAAGACCTCCAGGCTGGTGGAGTGAGAGGAACAGAACTAGGAAGACCTAGGCTTTCATCCTGGTTTTGTGGCCAATGACTAATGAGTCCTGGGAAATCCCTTTGTGTTTTCTGAGATAAAAGATTGTCTTATTTGGAAACAGGGGGAACATGAGCTGTAATCATCTCTGGCCCTGTTTCTTCATCTAAATGTTGTTTTCCCATGAATGGCATAGCTGGTTCTGTGGCTTATTAAGAAGGAATGGTCCTTCAAGCAGGGACAGGAAGCAGTTACGGTGGGAGCCCATGGTGTCCTGGTGCCCGGCACAGCTGCACTGAGAGTGGAGGGGCCCGTGATCAGGTGTGGACTCTTGATGCCCACTCTGGACAGCTTGGAATGCTAACCAGGCTTGGCATGATGCCATCAGAGGGATGGCATCCTAGTCTCAGTAAATTCTTCCAAAGTTAATTATTTCATCATGATGCAGTGAGCAGTTAGTTGTTTGGTCCTGGGGTCTAACAGATCAGCATCCTGTGGAATCTTCCCAACTTAGCTGCCATAGTACTCTTGAGGCAAGGATGGTTTCATAAAATGCGAACTGTCAGTCACACTCATCTTCAGCTCTGTCTTTGCCTTGTTTCCTGTTCCCTTTGGCATTCTTAGAAGCCATCCCCCTTTGTGGCTTTGCCTTGGTTTTTTATTGGCTCCAAATTTTGTTGATAAAGGTTCACAACTGCATTTTCTATTTTAGCCTATAAGAAAACCAAATGACACTGGTAGTGTCTCATTGCTATAATTACACCACAGAGCTGCCAAAAATGTAAAAAGGAGAAATTAGAGAGAGAACCTTGTCCTGGTCTGAAGAGAAGGTACTGGAAACGGCAGGCTGAGCTATTGACACTTTGTACTTTGTCAGCGAATTTTCAGGTTTTCTGTAAACTCCTCAGGGTCAGGATCAAGTTATCTCTGTGTCTAGGTCTGGCTTGCTTTGTGTGACTGGGGCTCACCAGCCCTGAGGTGCCCTTTTGTGCCCCAAAGTTCTAGTGACTATGTGTTACTATAACAAAAGGCCAGAGACTGGGTGACTTATAAAGAACTGGCCTTTATTTCTTACAGTTCTAGAGGCTGGGAAGTTCAAGGTAGAGGAGTAGAGGCCTTTTTGGCTTGAGTCATTTCATAGCAGAAAGAAGAGCAACAAAGGAGTACGTGCCTTAGAGAAAGAGAGGGCTGGCCTTTCGTTCGTGACAGATGAGCTCTTGGGAGTGAGCACACTGCCACAGTAGCACTGTGAATCCATTACTGTGGAGATCCCACCTCAACGCTGCAGAGTTAGGGGTGACATTTCCCTCCCTCCCTGTCTCATTCTCCCCTCTCTCTCCTTCCTTTTCCCTTCCTTCCTTCCTTCCTTCCTTCCTTCCTTCCTC